TCCTTATTAATATATTGCGTATATTCTTAATATTTCTTCTAATGTTCTATTCATTCTTTCTGTCTGTTCATCTGTCTGTGGGTGGAATGCTGTAGAAATAGCTAACTTAGTGCCTAGTTGGGTAAAAAGCGACAGCCAGAATTTACTGGTGAATTTAGGGTTTCTATCTGATATAATTGCTTCTGTCAACCAGTGATTTTTGAAGATGGTAGAAAAGAAAATTTTAGTGACTTCGGGAGCTGTAACTGTGGTGTGGGTTGGGCAGAAGTGGGCTCATTTTGTTAACCTGTTAACAAACACTACAATGGCATCATATCCTTTTTTTGTTAATGGCAATTGAACTATAAAATCTATTGTAACTTGTTCTCACCATTTTCTTGAAGTATCAAGAGGTTGTAAGAGTCCAGTAGGTTGTTGATTACTACTTTTATTTCGTTGACATTGATCACAACTTCCTACGTACTTCTTAACATCCTTATAAAGTTTTGGCCAAAAAAAATTTCTGCTTATTAACTCATAAGTCTTCTCTGTTCTTAGATGCTCTGCTGTGCCTACGTTGTGATTTTCCTGGAGTAACTGTATCCTTAGCTCTTTATTTGAGAGAATTGCCATCCTTACTTCTTCTTTTAAAAAAAATTTTTTATCCTTTAGTTCGTAGTGCTTGACTCTTGCTTGTTGTTTAGGTTCACTAACTATGTCCTCTCTAAAATTTTAAAGATAGAAGAGAAATAGGGATCCTTTAGGTATTCTTGTACAAAGAAATCTATGTCAATTAGCTGTGTTGCAATGGTGGTGATGTTATTTAGGTATGTTCATCGTGATAGAGTATCAGCAACAATATTTATTTTTCCCGATCTGTATTTGACATCAAAATCTATTGACTATAACAATTCTAACCATCTAGCTTGCCATCGCGAGAGGTACACTTGTGACTTGATATATTCAAGAGAGGCATGGTTGGTAATTACTATAAATTTTTGTCCTTCTATATAAGGTCACCAAAGTTTAATTGCATGAACAATAGCTAACAATTTTTTCTCATGTATAGGATAATTTAGTTCAGCTAATGACAATTTCCTAGATTCATATGCAATGGGTTGGTCATCTTTACCATGATTTTGACTAAGAACAGCACTGATAGCATAGTCAGAGGCATCTGTGCTGATAGAAAAGGTTTAGTAGGGTCAGGAAGAATAAGAATAGAGGTGGACATAAGTTGATGTTTTAAGGTTTCAAAAGCTGTTTCCTCCAATTGTTTCTATTTGAAGGTTTGGTTTTTATGAAATAGTTGTGTTAGGGTGCAGAAATAGCTAAGAACCTTTTTACAAATTTTCTATAGTAACTCTCAAGACCAAGGAATGAACAAACTTCGGATATGTTAGTAGAAATTGGCCAATTCTTTATAGCAATGACCTTTTTATCATCAACAGAAAGTCCATCAGCTAAAATGTAGTATTCAAGATATTCAACTTTTTCTTTGAAAAATTTGTATTTACTAATTTTTGCATATAGCTTATGCTTTCTTAAGATTTCCAGGGCTTTTTGTAAATGGTGTATATGGTCTTGCTTTGTCTTACTGTAGATAAGTATGTCATCAAGGTAAATGATTACGAAGTTATCAAGATGTTTTTTAAAGATATCATTCATGAGTGTCATGAAAGTAGCGGATGCATTGGTGAGGCCAAAAGGTAATACAAGAAATGTATAATGGCCGTAACGGGTACGAAAGGCTGTTTTGTGAATATCTTCTTTTTTGATTCGAATTTGGTGGTACCCTGAGTATAGATCAATTTTTGAAAAATATTTAGCGCTGACCAACCTATCTAGCAATTCGTCGATACAAAGAAGTGGGTATTGATTTTTAATATTAATTTTGTTAAGAGCACGATAGTCTACACAAAGTCTTAAGGTTTCTTCTTTTTTATGTACAAAAAGAAAAGGGCCGCCAAAAGGAGATGTACTGGGTTGAATAAATTTTTTCTTTAGTAAGTTTGTTAACTGGTGTTTTAATTCATCCATTTCCGCATAGGACATTCTGTAGATAGGGCGAAATAGTGGTTCTGACCCAAAGATAAGGTCTATACTATAGTCAACCTTCTGTTCTGAGGGTAATTGGTTTAGTAGTGTTTTAGAAAATATGTCAGCAAAATCTTGGAGAACTTTTTGGACTTCTGAGGTGTTGGAGCTAGTATTTTTATCACACTCTGCTGTAATATATTCAGTGAAAATTTCCTCATTGTCAGGTACCTTGGCTAGCTGCTGCCTGAATATGAATACTGAATTGCAGCTATGTTCCTTATGTATGTTCTGGGGTCTGCTTGAACCTCAATTGTTTTAGACCCATACTGGAAAATCAAGGTATTCTTTCTCCAATTGATATTGGGTTAGCATGATACAACAATAGTTTCCCAAGTATGGTGTTATAACATTGGAGATTTAATACTTGCGCAAAAATCCTGGAAGTGTGGTAAGGGCCTAATTCTAGTTTGGTGATATCAACTATTTTGTTGGTTGTAGCTTTTCTACCATCTGCTAATTCAACTGTGAGGGAGGTGTTAGTTTTTGTGATTAGTTTGTTTCTAGTAACAAATTCCTTATTAATAAAATTTCATGATGCTCCACTATTCAAAAAATTCAAGCATTATAGCCATTAATTTTGCTATTGAACCTTAGTAGTTGTTCTCGGTTTTCTTCTACTTGAGTTAGTTCCAGGCTATTGTTGGTAATAGTTTGTGATGGTTGGTTAGTTTCATCTTCAACATTAGTAAGTTTTTGTTTATTTTTGGCTTTACAATTTTTGCATAATGTCTTGCTAGCCCATATTTAAAACAATTTTCTTTTTTATCCTTCTTACTATAGTTGTTGGAGGAACTGCTAGCATAATCAAGCTCTATTGGTGTTGGTCCACCACTATTACTTTTCCCAGTTTTTTGGATATAATACTGTTGCAGTTTATTGGCGGAGGGCCTTCCTGTGCTGAACATTGCCGTGTCGAACTGAATTGCTAATGCTCAAGCTTCCTCTAAAATAGCTGGTGCCTAATAAGCTACTTTCATTTTGGTGGTGTGCTTGAGACCCTTCATAAAATAGGTAACTTTATCTATTTCATTCATGTTTTCAATTTGGCGTATTATACTGTGAAATTGGGTTCTATATTCTTGTACAGACCCAGTTTGTTTCAACTTTTTGAGTTGTTGTCAGAGGTAGTGTTGGTAATTAGGAGGTTGAAAAGCCTGTCATACTGCCATAGCAAAAGCATCCTAGTCACCAAAAGAAGCCTGATTTCTTGCTGCTATAACTCTATTAAGGTATCAATGTAAAGCAGCATCTTCGAAGCCTATGGCTATATAATGGATTTAGGTTTCATCAGCATTAATCCCTTGGGAGTGAAAAATGCTCTGAACTTGGAAGAGCCAGGTAACAACATTTTCTTTTGGCTCTCCTTTATATGTTAGGATTTTGATACTAATTTTTGGATTATTATTAGGAACGTTTTGATTTGCATTTGCATTGGCATTAGTATTTGCATTTCTCCTGCGTTGAGGGTATCCGTCAACCCTTGCTGGCTTTGAACTAGTTGTGTGATAGCAGCTCATAAGTTGTCCATAGCAAAAAAAAAAAAAATTTTTAATAAGCGGTATGGAGTGTGTGTGTGGTGTGAGATATATGTGTATATAAGCAAAGTGGATAAATCCTCTGCTACCAAAATGTAAGATTTTTAAAAAATCAGGTTAAGAAATCTCAAGGAACATAAGTGATTTTCTTGTTTTATTGTTAAGTTCTTTTCTTTTTATTGTGTTTTGATTAATCTTACAAGTTACTTCTTTATTACATTTAGAAAAGAGCTTTTATACATTTTGATTAATAATACATGTATAATCCTAAATAATTAAATAAGTTATTTGTGCGAAGCTAATTAATGCATTGTGATCTTAGTAATCTTATTTTTCAGGGCATATTTGTAACTTATAAGAGGTATAATAAATAAATAATGTTATAATGTTATATTAATAAATATGATCATTATATTAATAATAAATCGTATTATTAGTATAAATAACAGGAGCCGCAGTTAGATAAATTATAAAATAACGATCTAAAAGTGCATGCATTAACCCCGGCTTGTTCCTGTAAAATGTTCGTTAAATGTCTACATATCATTGTACATGCAGGCTTGTGCTATAAAAAGTAAAGTTAGTGGCACATATTACTGTATTACACTGCCTCTAAGGGTGTCCAAGTGCTGTCTGCCTCACCCGTTAAGGCTATTGCCTGTACTGGAGAGCTATACCAAGCTAGCCTAGGAAACTATCACAAGACAGTTTCATAATAAAAGAATTTTTAACTAAATTAAATTGGCAATTTCCTCTTACTAAACTATCCTCCTTTTTATAACAGAATCCTAAATCTAATTTTTTAATAAACAAGATAATTTCCTCTTTCAGCACTGAGTCATTGCCAAAATTCTCTCATTTGTGTTTGGATTTCTTTTTCTTCTTCTTCCAGTTAAACTTGTCCTTTCCGATTCGAGACCTAGCTCCAGTAAGTCTTCTTATATCTTTTTCTATAATTTCCTTTTTCTGTCATATAGCTTCGTAATTTCTTTCTTTTTTCTGAGGACTTGTTTTAACAGTTTCTTCTAGGAATATTCTTCTGTATGTTTTTTTTCTCTCAGAGTATCTTAGATCTTCTTTCTGTTTCTTTATTTTTGAATCTTGGTCAAACTGCTCTGCTTCTTTTTCTTCCGTGTTCTGGGTATGAGAGTCTTCTTTTTCTCCTTTCTTGGTCTTCCTATTCTTCTTTTTCTTCTTAAAGCCTGGCCTTCTTTTCAAGAATCTTTCCAGTATTTTGTTAAAGATCTTCTGATTTTTGAGATCTTCTACAAAAATCTTTTCTAATATTCTTAATAATAAATTCTTTTTTTTCTTTTTCCAATTTTTAGTACCCTTTGGTCTGGGTGGTACTGTACATTAAGACAGATTCGTATTCAGATTTCATTAGGACTTCAGCCCATATATTAATTTTGCCAAGAGATCTCTTTTTGTCTTTTTCTACCTCTTTCTATTATATTGTGAATCTTTAATGCTGATTTGGTATATTACTTCTGTCAACCACTTTTCTGAAGTCGATAAAGTGATTTCTGGTCTAGATTCCTCTTAAATCTTATTTAGTATTCTTTCTTCTGTAATGTCTGAGAAATTCTGTTCTGTTTTTGGTCTTGATTCTTCTTGAATCTTGTTTAGTGTCTTTGCTTCTATAAAACCTAGGAAATCTTGTTCCTTGCTTTTCTTTTCTTTTTCTTTTTTGATTTTATTTCTCTTCCTTTTCAGGTTTGCTGCGGTAAAATCGATAGATACTTTAAAGTATAATACTAGAGTTCTTAGTGCTATTTCATTGTTCTGTTTTTGTCAAATTTTTCTTTGTTCTTGGAGTCTCTTGCTCCAATCTTCATTTAGTTTTGATCTTAATTCAGCAGCTTGTTTTTTTTTTGACAGGCTTCTAACTTCAGTTTTACTTTTAATTTTGCTAATTGTTTTTCTTTTCATCAGGCTTGCATCTTTTTTTTTTCTTCTTTAGCTTTCCTCTTTATTAGATATTGTTTTGCTACCATAGCATCAACGGACTCTTTGAATTTAAGTGTTAGATTCTTTAAGGCTATTTTATTTTGCTGCTGCTGTCTACTCTTTCTTTGTTCTTGAAGTCTCTTGCTCCAACCTATTTCTAATTTCGACTTTATTTTGGTAGCTTGTTTTGCTCTAGTATCTTTTATCTTATTCAACCACCCTGTTGTATCTACTGCAACCATAAGCTCATTTATTTTCTCAATTATGATGTAGGTAGCTATGTCTATATCTCCTAACAATACTTTATAATAGTATTAAAAATTTCTTTCTCTAGGTGCAAGGTCCAAGTACTACATTTCTTCTTTTCTATATTGTCGTAATTCTTCATATAGAGCTTCTATCTTTGGCTTTATTTCTTCTAATATAATAAACTTTATTGTATTTGTTACTGAGGCTTCTATCACTTGTTCTATCATAATTGCTCTTTGTTTCTCAGTTAATTGTGCTAGTTCTTGCTGAAAACATGCTTGTCTTTCTTCATAGTTTCTTGGTTGTAGATTGGCTGCTGCCTGTTTTTTAAGCTCTCTTCTATTGATTTTTACTAAATATTCTATATAATTTGTTGTTTCTTTGTTGTTGCTAGTTTGTTTCACGTGACTTGTTGTTTTACGACTATTGTTGATTGTTGTTGTTGTTTGTTTAGTACTGTTGTTTGTTTTCGTCACATGGTTTTTAACACGTTTCTTTTGTTTATTCTTCATTACGTATTGTATTTTTTGTATCACCAAAACAGATCTATGATTCAGGATCAAGACTAATTCTCCAAAATTTTCCAAAGTGCAAAAAAATATTACCGATTTTTCATGACTTCTTCTATTTCTTTGCTGCTTTGAGTATTTCTAACTCAAGTCTTCTAAGAGACTGAGTATTTCTTGTAGTTCTCTTTCTTTTTACTTAGAGCTTCGAGTTAGATTTCTTAATAGCCTTTGTATATTTTTTGTAGTTTTTAATTAATTTTGTTTTTTGAATTTTGTGTTTTGATGATCGGTTATTTCTATATATTTTCTATCTATTAACTAGTAAATATATTATATATTTACTATATTTTATTTTAAAAATATGTAATTATATTATTATCATAATATATTAATAATATTTAATACAAATTATAACTTATTTCTATATATTTTCTACTAATTATCTAGTAAATATATTGTATATTCATTATATTTTATTATAAAAATATACAATTATATTATTATCATAATATATTAATAATATTTAGTACAAATTATAACTTATTTCTATATATTTTCTATCTATTAACTAATAAATATAGAGTATGGCTATTTACACTATGATTTTTGCTATTTGTACCATTAGTTTGGCCAGAATTAGTTAGAGTTAGGGTATAATTTTAGTCAAATTGATGGTGCAAATAGCAAAAATCATGGTGCAAATAGCAATTCCTAAATATATTATATATTTACTATATTTTATTTTAAAAATATATGATTATATTATTTAGTGTTTCTTAAAATCAAATCAAATCAAATATTAGGCTTATTTGAATTCGATTTGATTTAAAAATCTGGATTTGAATTTAATTTGATTTAAAAAATCTAGATTTGAATTTGATTTGATTATTTGATTTTAAATCTTCAAATCAAATTAAAGTTTTGACCATTTATAAAAATCTTCAATTTTCTTAAAATTTTATTAAGTAAATCGATTTTGTATACTAAATAAAAAATGTTCTAGAGTGTGGTGATTTAGTGAAGTAATGAAATTGTCACACTCCCAAGCAGTACATCCAGATTTCATATCCCACTGTCGACAAAATTCAAATTTTCTGTTGTGAAATAGTTACCATAACAATAAGTTAGATTGCTAATCTGTAACCAAGGTTGTATCAAATATTCTATATCTGAAGGATTATTAGCCAGTAATTTATATAAAGCCAAAGAATTGAAGTTACAGATACCCGCTTGGCAAGACTTGAGTAGAGAAGTAGTACAAACCTTTGACGGTACTATATAAAGGATTATTACTAGGAAAAACCAAAAATTAAACAGAACCGAGGTGTATAGCAAAAGCACCTTATCAACCAGGCTGCTGAGATCAGAGAAAAAGGATCTGTTTAATTGTAGTTGCTAGAAGACTGGTAACTTTTGTGTGAAAGTTTTCTCTGGGCTATCAGAATTAGTAGTTTGGAATAGCCAGGTCAAACTGAAAAAACCGAATAGACGAAGTGTTTAAGGAGGCATTTCTACCAACCAGGCCACCAGAACCAGAAGAAAAGGATCTGCTTAATTTGCAGTTACTAGGGGACTGGTAACTTTCAAGTAAAAGTCCTTCCCAGACTATCTGAATTGGTAGTTTAAGATTCAGAAAGTACTCTTAATATTCTGTAAAGTGGT